GCGGTACCAGCTTCATTAAATGAACTTCGCTAGGTTCTTAAAGAAGAATGACAAAGCATAACGCAATATGGTATATACAGCCTGAATGACAGTATGATCGGACGTATACAGGCAATTATATCAACCAAGAGAGGCAATTCAAAATATTAGGGTATTTTTTACAATTTTTTTTTCTGTTTGTATACTTACTTGTGTATTACAGATGTTTTCTTTAATATCGTTAGTTCTGTTATCGTTATTAATGTTTATTAAAACCAGGACAGTATCGTTGGTCTTTAACATTTTTTTTTAATTTAGTATAGAGTATCCAATGCAGCGTAATACGACATTACGACAATAGTCACCAAAGCCATCTCGTCATATTAAAAAATTACATAAAAACATAATGATAATTGAAAAAATTGCAAATTGATCGTGATCAGTTCATTTCGCTCTTAAAAATTAACCAAAGCATGTATTGACATGAATCAAAAAACAAAATACTCAAGAGTCATGGTTCTGGCCGCAAAATTATATTTTAGGAAAATTTACACACAAAAATATTGCACAGGGTGTTTTAAAGTTAAGGTAAAAAAAACAATCCCCGATTAACCCTGTATAATATGCCAAATACTAAAGTTTTTAAAAAAAACTTAGTTTACAAATTAAAGTTGATATAATAATATATATAGTTTGCTAAAAAACTCATTAAAATAGGGCTAAAAATAACAAAAATATAACACTTTAAATTTGACCATAATTTTCTCCGTTACGTTTTTTGCATCTGAGTAAATATAAATTTTCCATTAAGGTGGATTTATAAACTGAAAACGGTGCGGTTCGACGTTGCGGTTGCGATTATTTCTATTGGCTATTACTAACGTTTCAAGGTCAACGTTCCTGTCGAAGTTAAAAATTGGTTAATTTTTGACGTAAAACGTCAACCGCAACAACAACCGAAAAATTTATAATCAACAAAACATTCTGCGTATGAAGAAACTATTTACCGACCGTAACGTCGGGCGCCGAACCACAACGTTTTCAGTTTATAAATCGACCTTTATAGTTAAAATATAATAATAATAAATATTGTATTAATTATGTTCCCACACATAGCAATTGAAAAGTCTCATTTTTAAATGTCTGTTATACTTATTTTAAATGCGTGTTATAGAAATTATGTCGGAAGTTTGATTTCGGAAAAGGCCAACATCGTGTCTGAAATTCAGCACAGAATTAGCAGCGCCTCAAGAGCATTCTGGAGATTAAAAGCAGGGTTTTCTACAATCATGACTTAAGCACAAAACCGAAACATGCAGTGTACCGAGCTAATAATAATCCCCACCATATTATATGGAAGCGAAACATGGGTGCTGTACCGCCGGCACATGAACGCATTAAACACATTGCAACAGAGCCACCTTAGACAACTGTTAAGAATAAAATGGTACCACAATGTCTCAAGCGTATCAGTCCTCGAAAAAGCTAGCTGCGAGAGCACCGCGAGCGTCGCAAGTTCCGCAAATCTCGCTCCGACTGTTTTTCGTGTTTCATGTGTTCGTTCGGCCTGCTCGCGAACAATGTGGACGCACCTTTAGAAACGTCTAAGTTCACTTATTTCTCTAAGCTTAACGAAAAAAAGTCTTTTGACTCGGGCTCAAAAACCGACACGAATGGAAGTTGCTCAAGATGAGACCAAATTGAACAAGACAACCGAAAGTCACCTGCTTCCACTATCATTCTCGGCAATTTCGCGGAAATATCATTATAGAATCAGAGAATGCTAGAACTCTTACCCACGAACCCAACTTTCTTCTTACCCTGAGAAACGGATACTTATTTCTTGCTTTCTTGTTCCAGAGAGAAATAAAATAAGATATACTGATTTAGAGAGAAAATAAATTTTATTGTGAATTTTTATAGCGAAATTAAAAATGCTAATTCAATTAACACGACTACTAGCTAGCTGAAATCACGCAAAGAACCTTTTAAGAGTCTAGATAATTCTATTTAAACGTAAATAATTACACTGACAGAAGTTGAGATAAGAAAATCGTGCGCAATAATTTACTAGATGGCCGATAACAAAGTATTTTTAAAACTAGCTTTAAGCTAGAAACTAATTACAGAAGTAGAATAAATTTTTGTAAAAGATTTACAGATATACGATGGTAGCTTTAAAAGTTTCCTACCTCAGAAAGGTACAAGACTTTGTACGTAAACTATAGATAGATCGAATATGTCGACTTTCCGTAACCTATAAACCAAATTTTAGCTTTCAAAATGCCAAATTTATAGTTGAACCAATGCTTATAAATTTTACACATATTTTATTTTTTATCTCGAGAACTATTAAAGATTGATGTAGGTTAGTATAATAGAAAAGTTTTGAGATATGGCAGTAGTTTCAAAAAATATAATAATTAACCAGATGTTCCATTTAAAATAACAAAGATGCTACTACTTTTAGTATTAAGCGGCAACACTGTAATGCTGAAAATAATTTAGACAGGATGAAGCAGGTGCCTTTATGCAAATATCCAAATTTTCAAAAATATCCTATCACCGGTTCTCCATAAGTATCTAACGTGCCATGACCGTGAATCACCCTGTATACTGATCACCATCTTTACTTTAATTTTACTAAAATTCGATATACCTATAGCTTAACTAAAGTTCAAAACAAACATAATTAAAACTAAAACTTTGTGTATCTTTCGAAGTGTGTTTATTTTGGCCCTGTTCAAACCCAATACTAAATGGACGAATGCACTTTCCTGGAATGATCCCGTTTAGCCGGTCATTTCTGAAATAATCCCAATAAACCAGCGCATCCAGACACTCAAATTAACTTATTTATCCTGTTTTTTATTTCCGCTCCTGTTTTTGTCCTGTTTACTACCGTCGACCTCGTAAATCAGTTAAGAGTCTAACTAATTAAATTATTAAATAAATATTTTCAAATTAATTACATTCAATAAAACTTAATTTAAATTTTGATACATTTTGGGTTATTTCTATACCGGGTGTTTCTCAAAAATGGCCCATTCCTATACCTTTCTTATTTTTCCAGATAAAAAAAACAAGATTTGGTACGTTATGACATATACAGGGTGTCCCAGAAATAAGTGCAAGTATTTTAAGGTGTGGTAGATCTCGATAAAAGAAACATATTTCCTCTTTATCGTCTTTCGAATAAGTCCAAAATAACGGAGTTAATTTACTTTGAAAATTTTCAAAAAAAAATTATTTTTTGCTAAAATTTTGAGAACCACTGGATCTCTTCTGGATTTTCTTTCTTGTAAATTTAAACTAATGCCTATGTTGCCATATTATCAAGAAATTGTGTTTTTAACTAAAAACTAAAAAATTTCCAAAAAACTTTTCAAAGATTTATTTTCGCGAAGAAGATCTCATAGGCGTGTTTCTGGGGTTGAACTATGCTACCAGTTAAAATATTTGCACTTATTTCTGGGACACCCTGTACAAGGATTATTTGACGTATTCAATAATTATTGTTTTCGGTCACTCCCTGTTTCAGCGGAAATTACTACAACTTTTGATTTTTAAATGGCACCATCAGTATTTTTTCACTTCATTCGATAGAAAATGACAATCTGAATAGAATGACATATCATATATAAACTTTTGACATTCTCGCTTGAAAAAATTCGTATATTAAATTTCAGTCTAGAGTGCCAAAACACTAATTTGATTAACAACACTAATTTTTAATCAAAGAGCCTTAAAAAAATAGGTTTGATCGTCTATTGTTTTTATTGTCTTTTCCTGGCCGGTTAAAAGATGCCCAAATCGTATTTTTAATCATATCTCAATTTTTTCAATATAAGCATATTTTACGAACCATTTTTTACCACATACTTGGTATTTCGAGTGAAACTGTTGTTGAACTCTAGATTGAAATTTAAAATGCTATTTTTTTTAATTGAAAATGTCAAAAGTTACAACATAATATAATATATCATTCTATTCAGAGTGTCATTTTCTATCGAATAAATTAAAAAAATACCGAGAGTGTCATTTAGATATTGAAAGTTGTAGTCACTTTCTGTTTCACCGAAAGTAACCGAAAACATTTGAAAACGTCAATCAATCCTAATATATTTCAGATACTAACATACCAAATCTCGTTTTTTTTTTATCTGAAAAAATGAAAAAGTTAGAGGCGTGAGACACTTTTGAGAAACTCCCGGTATTTTGCTGTCAGAGATAATCTGGATAGAACCTCAGGATAGAGCCTATTTTGTTTACGCGGATTCTGAATCTGAATCTACGATTTTCTTTTAACATTCTTTTTAGAGATCATATAACGCCACATCTTAAAAATTTATCTATTTTATCCATGACTAACAGACGACAATTTCATTTAATGACATTTATTTATCGAATTTTAACTACAGAGCAGCCTCCCTAATTGTTCTCATTATTTCACTACGTTGCGTTGACCATGCTCATTCGACTAGGCAAGTGCATTATTTTAAAATTCCTCAACAACGAACAGCTAACTTCCAAAAATCTTTCAGTTTCATAGCGCCACATTTGTGAAATAATATTTCTAATAATTTTAAATTTCAATTCTTTACAAATTATAAAAAACAAATCAAAAATCATTTACTAAATTCATAAAAATTATAATTTCTTTGACTAATTTGTGAGGTTCTTGTTCTTCTCATATGCCCGTCATTGGTTGCTATTCCGGATTTTACACTGTTTCGTTATGCCTCTCTGCTGATCTCCGCTCATCCCTGATAAAAATATATTTTCACTTTTTTTAATCTAATCTCTGTTTATTTTTATAATTTAATTTATTTTATTTTGTTTTAGGGGTCGCACCACTCTGGCACTTTCTAGCAAAAATTATAGACATAATTTCCGTTCATAACACGGAACCTAACCTAACCTAAACAAATTAGCCTTAATTGCTGAATTTTAACAATCAAACATAAATCAACATGACGATTTTTCGGAATATACTAAATATGATTTTTCATTTATTTCAGGACTTTAACAGATAACAAGCTGGAGAAAATTCATTCCAAATCTTTTGCCAAAAATATTCAACTGAAAAGACTGTAAGTATTTTACTCAAAATAAGAAAATAAGTAGGTAATTAATTATTTTACACTTTTTGTAGTTTGGCTTGGCTTATTCAACCCTTATTCACTTTGGCCATTTTTAATCATCTGCTGATAATGGTTAGCGAAATACGCGCCCACTGTATAAAAGTAAATTGTGGTGAATTAGTGTTTAATTTTGCTTTTATTTTTATGTCAATGAGGAAAAATTTTAAAAATTTTAATCTGTCAGAAACGGATTCAGATTGACATAGGTTATATCATACCAAATTTGTATCAAAATTTTAGATTTTGAAAAACTTGTGTGGGAAAACCCTATACAGACCGGACCACCGTAGTAGTAACATAGGCAGAACCGGACGAATTAGCGTATACCCGTCCGCCGGATAAAAAGCAGGCGAAAAAATGCGATAAAATAAAAATAGGTAATGTACGTCTGCTGGATCTGTGTCTATGAAAGGAATGCGAACAAAAAACATTTAAATAAACAGCAATATATTTTATACTCCGCCCACTCATTTTATTGGCAAATTTGTCGAATTTTTATTTATGGGACGCGTTGTCTAATTTTTTACGAAAAACATCGAGAGAATATCGTTTCCCCTCCCACGGATACCACGTAGCTACAGAATGGACAGACAGTACTGTAGATATCTGATAAGAATGTTTCAGAATTTGTATTTATTCGTGTTTTAATAGCCAAAACGAATACATAGATTCTCGCGACAGTTCTCGTGTAAAGTTTATTTTTTAAGTAAAATAATGGATGTTTACGAAGTTCGTGAGAAAATTCAAATTGTAAAATGGTATTTCCAAAATAGGTCTTATCGGGATATACAAACAATTTTTCTACAAACTTTTGTAAACAGGCCAATTCCATCTTTACCTACTGTATTAAGAGTTATTAATAATTTTGAAACACATGGGTGCGTGTTCCCACAAAAACACAAAAAGCCTGATGTGTTGATTAATGAAGAACAGGAGTCAAAGCAAGGGTTCATTTGTGCTACCGCGGATCAAAATCCCACATTTTCAAGTAATCAAATTGCTGAGGTGGTTGTCCTGCCCACAATGCCCGTATTGTTCAAGAATATTTGAACAATACTTTTCCCAACCGTTTAATTAGTGGATATGGAACTATTTTGTGGCCCGCTAGATCACCAGCTCTTTCTCCCAGTGATTTATTTTTTGCGAGGTTATGTAAAATCCAAAGTGTATGGTCATAATAGGGCTAATAATCTGGATGAGCTTCAAGTAAAAATACGAGAGGCTTTCCAAACTATTAGCCCTAATATGTTAGCCAATGTCAGACGGGGATTTTACGACCGCCTAGGCTTCTGTCTAGCACAAGAAGATGGTCTTTTTGAACACTTGTTATAACTTTTTTTTATTTAGAGTAATATTTTAGTCTTTTTTGGGTTTAGAGAATTTATTTATTTTTAGTTTTGGCTTGTAAACACTCTCAAATAATAAATATTTAAGTATTTTCATTTTAAAAACCAAACCTTAAGTGAAGGTAAACACTTAAAATGAAAATAATAAATACTCGGCACTCCTCGCGTCATATTCCTAGTCTGTCACGACCGACCCGTCCAAGCAAAACTGCAACTGCGTACTGCCTGACCAGCCGACTAGCCGGCAGTGAATCTCGAATACGAACGCAAAACGGGTAAACGTAAAGTCGTCCGGCAACTTGCTATGTTACTAGTAGCCTGGTCTGTATATACAAAATAGTATAAGAATTAAGGATCGTCAGATAAGGATAAGAAATTATAGAAAACATAGATTTCTACGAGGCAATTCTAGATACTACTAGTAATTTCTGAAACAGATAAGTTTAAGTGCTGTTTCTTTTATTGTCTCAAAAAGTAATTTGGCATCAGATTATTACAAAAAAGTCTACTTTCGTGATATATTGCAAATAGAAGACGACTAACCACTTAACTTCTCACATTTCTTTTATTTGGATCGTAATTTATATCAGAGCTTTAGTAATCCCATGGTTTTTTTTTGCATTAATAGTTCTGTGTTTTCTTTAAATTACGAAATGTAGAAAAAAAAATTGGCAACTAAAAAAGATTCATTAATTTAACCTAATTAATTTTGACAAGTGGTAATAAATACCGACTGAAAATGTTCCTGTATATTTTAGAAAACTTTTTAGAACTGCCTGTTCACCGTAAATTTTCCCACGGTATATTTGTTATTCTTCGATATTACAATGGTTACGACAAAGGTTACGGCACTAAAAAGGATGCAAATACAGAAAAAAATCTGGTGGCTCGTGTTTTGAGTTTTTTTCAAATCGAATGTATTGATAATGAGGAATTATGTAGCCAAAATGTTGTTCTAGTAAAAATGTTGTCTTATTGTGCAGTTTCCTAGACTTTTCTCTATTTTTGTCTATCGGTTCTGCTTGGTATCCTGCTACGCGACATAAATATGTCTCGGAGTTTACGATCCGTTTTACAGATACGTCGAAAAAGATATCTATCCTCCTTTTTTGGTCACAACTAACCATCGAGATCGAAGTCGTTGGAAAAAAAGCAAAAGAGCAAAGCAAAACATCTACAGTATGTCCCCGGTATGTCTTCACAAGAGGAAACGCTTTTTTATTATTAATTATTTATTTTTTGATAAAAATTCAATTTTTATAAAAGTTTTCGCTTGTTTTAAAATGGTTAATTCCGTTTATAATTTTCCAATTTCTCATAACGCTCTCAAGAGAAAAATACAAAAATACCGGGTGCGTCTCAAAAGTGGCTCACCCCTATAATAACTATTTTATTTTTTCAGATAAAAAAACGAGATTTCGTATGTTAGTATATAGGACATAAATTAGGATTAATTGATGTATTCAATTGTTTTTGGTCAACATTCAGTTACAACAGTCATAACTGAAGAGGTTTTGTTAGTTATCAGGGCCCCACTTGCAAGTACTGAGGCCCCTGGATTCGGGAGGCTACTGAGGCAATAGTTGATATGTTTGGTGCCAATCTCTTTAGACTATGAGTTATACCATTCTTTGGTTTTGATTGCTCACTTGTTTGCTAAGAGACGTCTCTCTAAAATGTTTGGATTGGAACAATAGAAGACAATAATAACTTTGCTATTTTTGTTTTTTCCATCTACAAAATGGCGTAAGGTATCCAGTATCCTGATATTTCATTTTAGGTTGATTGGTTTTGAACATTATGAGTCACAGTCAACGCGACGTTCTGCTATTATTGGATATACTTTTTACCTACACTCTGTATAGAAAAATAACGAATTTCTTTAAAAACCTAACCTATTGTGATAAATGTAGCTCAAAAAAGCAGTTTGCTTAACAGTTTATTGACATTTCATTGGTCTCAGTCGGCCTCTCTTTAAATAAATTCTTTTTATCTCTTGGAAAACGATAGAAGAGAAAAACCGAAGGGAAATCAAACGTATAAGGAGAAAAGTACGTGGTTTATGTTACGACAGGAATAGGAGAATAGCCGTCGTAAATAGCAATGTAACAGTAGTTTTGTAGATCGAACAAAACACAAACAGTTTACTATTTATACATGGTGGAAGCAGTTTGGTTTACAATTTCATTGAATATTATTTTCGTTTCATAGAATTTTCCTTAGAATTTTCAATATTTAATTGTTTACTATTATACAGGGTGATTCCTGTAAGTCGGTCATGCTTTCTGGGAATGATAGAGGACGTCGAAATATTAATTTTGATATAGCACACTATGGGTCGGAAATGCCTCTTAGGGTACGAACATAGTGGAGGCAGGTTTCTGCTTTCCGGCAGCCAGTAACTTTGCGTATATGCATCACGTGTATTGTTATATGGCTTTTTCGGAGATGCGAGCAGGGTTCGGAAGTAGCTAATTAAGAGGAAATTTACCTGATTAACTAACCTAACCTAACCTAACCATATTGAAACGCCGCGCCCGCCGCGCCGGGGCCGCACATAGGGGTATTTGGTCTATAAACCTAGCCAAAAGTGATATTTTTTATTTTCATTTTTTATCTTAACTGAATCCAAATCCATAAATACTAAATGTAAGCACGTTTATTAGCTTTTTTAAGTCGTAAGTTGACTATCAAATAAGTAATATATTTCAATTATAAGTATGAATTATCTTGAGTGTATTCTGAATATTTCTAAGATTATAAAATAGTGGAATTGTTTGTAGTGCTTTTTGCAAATTGTTTATAATAACTGTCATGATGGATACAGAGCCAGCTGGCAAGTCCTGTTTTATGCCATATTTTTTTTTTTTGAAACGTGTCCTTCTATTCTATTTTTTATAATGTTTTATATTTAAAAAATCAGTGGCATTTTATAAGGTGTAAGACTATTCGGCAATATTCCGCATGGAAATTAATATCCGTTCAATGCTTAAAGTCTCCAGCATTGGAATATGCACAAAAATCTTGCCAATATTTGCCACTGCCAAAAAACATTGATTTAAATAGATTCTTAAAGGGAAATAGTCTTTACCCTATTAACACCCATCCTCGCTCAAATATCGTCTATAATATACAAATTACTTTCTTGTTCTAGCATCCTCATCCAATTGCTTGGTTTTGCACAGAATGGCCCTATTTGATCGGTGGAAAGGGTTTTAGAGTAGAGGAAAAAATATTGTGTAGGAAAAACAAAATGGGGTACCATATTAGCAACCTCTCCTCTAATTAATAATAAATATTACTAGCAAAAAAGCAAAAAAATCATAAAACATAATTTTGGCCAACTTTTAGTTCTTAATACCCCCTGTGCGCCGTCGGCGCGTGCAAAAGCAGAAATAAATAAATTTTCGTTCCGGTAAAAGCGAGAACGCCGATGAACGCTGGTTGACGGTGCCTGCCTGCTCTCACTGTGAACTAGCCGATTTGATAACACGCTTTAATTTTTCAAGGTTATAAACGCGAGGCGGCGCGGCGCGGCGCTACTATGTAACCATATACAGGGTGTCCCAGAAATAAGTGCAAGTATTTTAACTTAACTGGTAG